GAGCGTCTGGTGTGTTCCAACTGCTGGCCTTTTGCTTAGCAGCCGGGACTTAACCACTGTGCAACCAGGGCTCCGCTCGACCCCCTAAAAAACCCAACCACGCTCACTGCCATCAAGTTGATGATTCCCACTCACAGCGACCCCCATCGGGTCCCCAAGGCTGTAAATCTGTACAGCAGACTGCTTCATCTTTCTTCCCTGGAGAAGCTGGAGGGTTCAAACCAGTGACCTTTTGGTTAACAGCCAAATGCCTTAACCACTGCACCACCAGAGCTCTTCCCCACTCCCTAGGAAGCCACTAATCTCTCTCTCTCTCTCTCTTTCTGGAATTTCCTATTCTTTTCTAGACATGTCATAGAAATGGAATCGTACGCCATGTGGTCTTTTATGATAGGCTTCTCAGCATAATATTTCCAGTTTTCTTTTCATCACCCTAAACAGAAACTCTGAACCCAGTATGCAATAAAACCCCATTCCTTTCTCCTCCCCTCTCCCTGCAGCCTGTGGTAACATTTAATCTAACTTTCTGCCTCTGAATTTGCCTCTTCCAGGTATTTCATGTAAGAAGGATCATACCATATTTGTCCTTTTGTGTCTGAGTTATCTCACTCAGCATAATGTTTTCAAGGGCCATCCATGTCATAGCCTATATCAGAAATTCCTTTTTTCTTCATGTGGAATAATATCCCATTGTATGTCTATACCACATTTTGTTTACCCAGCCATTGATGGACACGAGGGTTGTTTCTATTTTTTGGATATTGTGAATAATGCTAGAGTGAACACTGAAAATATGTTTGAGTCCCTGCTTTCAATTCTTCGGGCACCATCTAGGGCTGGGATTGTTGGGTGGCTCATGGGGCAGTTCTGTGTCTAACTTTTTGAGGCTAGCACCACTTTACACTCCAATCTGGAAGGATGAGGCATATCTTATCTCAACATCTTGGCAACAACTCCTTACTTAGTTTTTTTCTGATCAGAGCCCCCTAGAGAGTGGGAAGTGGTTGTCATTTGCATGTCCTCAATGGCATCTTTTCATGTGCTTACCGATGAGGTAGGTATCTTTGGTGAAATACCTATTCAAATCCTTCCCCATTTTCAATTGGGTTGTTTGCTTTTTATTAAGCTTTGAGTTCTTCATATATTCTAGATACAAGTCCCTTATTATCAGGTATATGATTTGCAAATATTTCTCCCATTGTGTGAGGTACCTTTTGCTTTCTTCATGGCATCCTTTGCTTTAAAAGACAGGATAGGATTGACTTTCTAGAACAACACTTTAGCTCCTTTAGGTTTCAGGAATAATACAACCCAACACCCCAAAAGAAAACAGAAACTGCCTGGATAGTCCTAAATGCCTAATGCTCTTGACTGCTAACCAGAAGGCTGGCGATTCAAACCCACCAGCCTCGGAAGATGGGGCAATCTACTTCTGTAGTGACACTGCCTCGGAAACCCAAAGAGGGGTTGCTATGTCGGGTCTGACTCGACAGCACATAAAAACAACAACCTGAGTCCGGTCCTGGGAGGAATTAGGAACTCCACAAGTAAAATCCAATATGTCCCCTCTTTTGTGACCAAGGAATGGCTGATGGGCTCTGAGATAATCTAAATACATACAGACCAGGGTTGAGAAGAGGAAGCCTGGGGAAAAGGCCCAACACCTGTGTTCCAAGACCTTTTTAAATATATGTTGCTATGAAAGGGACTGCACTATGTAATAAGAGTAATTTTCCTAATGTGCCTGTTCACTGGAGATCATTCTAGTACCAGGCACAGCCTTTAAACAAGCAGAAATGCCCA